AATGTAGTTAACAAGTCTTCCAAATCTTGTTATGGATATAGATGAATAATGAAAAAGATAAGACTAAACGCAATGCACAGTGTGACATCGATGTTTTCAATCTCAGACTGTCTATCTAGGGTATCGAGCAAGAGAGAGGCAGGTCCTGTTTTGCCTGTTATCTCATGACCTGAAGCGGCTGCCAAAAGCAGCGTTATGCAAAAAGCTGGGAGGAAAAAGAGAGGCTGGGAAGGTACACTGTTGACGTCAGAGGTACCCACATGTAAGAATTGTCTAATATCTAGTAATTAGTTGGAATGTTCTGGTGTATTGTACAGCGTTTCACCACCAGCAGCTCTCCAAATGCCCCTCTTTGTCTTCGGCTGCACTACTTTCTACTCACTTGGGAACATGATGCTTTTAAAAGTCTTATTGAGAGTGGAAATAGTGCATTAGAACTTACAGTTTGCATAGACTGTGCATCCAAAAGAGAATTAATTAAAGCTCTATTTTTTGTGATGGTTCAAAAAAGTTGGGGAAGCATCACATCAATTAAGAGGCTAGCTGCCAGTTATTTCCTAGTGATACTATGCTTTTAAAATTTCCAGTTTCACCTGTAAATCAAACCAGATTTCTTTTGTATAAAACAGGCTTGATTTCTAATGGAAACCATGGGTTTTTTCCAGTGCCCCTATTATGTTTATTTTTGTGTTATATGTGTTATATTATACTTTGGGAGTCCCCTCTACCTTGCTTTCACGTTAACTCTAAAATAATTTATCCAATTCATTATTTTTCAAAAGTTTTGACAAGTTCAGCGATGACTGGTCGAATTGGTGATTTGGTTGGACCTAGTAATAAGATGACATGTATGGAACAGGGGTGGCACATTACTGCTGCAGTACCGTTGATTAATTATTCTTTACGTCTAATTCCTCACAGCCCTGTAATTGGCAGATTTCATACCATCTTTGTGACATGAAATGTTGCTTAAATGGGACGTGTGGCTTGGGATAGAGTTTAAGGAGGTTTTGATTGGTCTGCTCATGCAACTAGTAGTAGCCGAGGAAAGGTTTTGTATTTACAGTTCTGTGAGAAAGTTTTAGGCAGGTGTGAAAAGTGCTATAAACAAAGACTGCTTTCTATAATCAATAAATTGTTAATTAATTAACGGCTTCTAGGTGCAACTCCTCCATGCAGACCACTTCTGACCAGACTTCTCCGAACACTAGAGGGCAGCACCTGGGCCTCAATGGATTATGCAAGTTCTGAGCTGATTGCGCTGCTGAGCATCTTCTGTTATTGAAGTGTAATTTCTCATCTTGAAATCTGCTTTAAAATATTTGAGAGACCTTGTTGATGCTGTATAACTACCTTGTCTCTTGTTGCTTTTCTAAATCTTGCCATTACAAGTCTTTCTCAACCTCAACTTGGTAGCAGGCTGTTTCTCACGCAGTTAGCACTCAAACCGGGAGTTTTCACTAACTTTGAACTATGTTACACTCTCATAAAAAACACTTTTCAATATTCAATATTAGTGGGAGTAATACAAATTGATCTTGAGCTGGGTGCGAATTTTGGAGCTGCATTCAGTGTTGTGTGAAAATATGAATCTGCCAAGAAGATCTTGCCCCCCTAGTTTCAAAGATAGCACTCCTTTCTTGTTTAAAGCTTAGGGTTCATTTATTCGTTGATAATGCTGTCTCCCCTTGCTGTTTAGAGAAAGTAACATCAGGTCAACCATGATATGTCAGGTCTGTCTCATTTGTGCTGCTTGTCTGGACATGTGTGGTGTTCCTAGAAGCGTGAACTGATTTGAGCACCTGAGGCTTTGGCAACCCAGTGGAATGACCTATACATCGACAGCCCTTTGAATTGCGCCCATTTGGGTTAATGCTCTCAACCAACAATTTTGACTGAGAATTTACTAGATTTTTAAATGTGTAAACTTTTAAATTGAACAGCAGTAGCAGAAAATCCTATATTCTATATATATTTGAGATGCAACGGGTTCCGTTTGATCTTGGGGAAGAGTCGCTTGAAGGTACAGAATCAGATCTTTTTCTTGGATGTGTTTGCTCTTTAAAGCTCTCACCGTGGAGTTCCTTGTAGAGACCAGAGTGTGTCTGAATAAATGAAAAGTCTGCAGGAGAAAGCCCTCTAGTGGTGCTGACCCTTTGGTTTTTGCTGCAACTGCTGATGGACAGTATTTAGGGTTGCCCTGGGAAGATCTGATCCGGGTCCTTCTTGGAAATCTCTCTCTTACATGGATCTGATAATACTGTTAGCATTGTGTTTGAGGTGGAAATTCTCGTAAAAATAATATGAGATGTTGTAATTTTATAAAACAAACATGAAATCTATGTATAGAAAATATGAGGCTCATCTTTCTGCGGCGTGATTAAAACAAAAAGCATCTTTGTGGGGCTCACACTTGAAATAGTTAACCCAGGATAATCCTAAACCCAGGATAAACGGAACACTGGGTCATCTGTAATCACATTTCACACTGCTCATTCCCCAGGTTAATGTTCTTATTTGCATATTTGCAGTGTCACTGCAACTGATTGGATGTATGGCAGGCAACACGCCACTTCCATTTACCAGTTTAAAAAAAATGTCACCAGCTGTTTAAAGTCTCATGAGACGCACAACATGACAAACAAGAAAAGAAAAGAAACAAACGAGCAAAGTACATGAACTTTTATTTGACTTTCTGTTAAGTTTCGAGAGACTAGTGTTTAGTTATTTGATAGCGTTATTGTATACAGTCGCATCCTCATCTCGGAAATGATTGGTCGCTCACAGAAGTCATCACTGATGCATTTGACAATTTACTTGACATAATCTTTGGTGGTTTCTGATTGGCTGTCTGTTGCTAAGCAGCAACAAGCAAACACCGAGCTGCAATGCGGGGTTGTCATTGACTTATGTGTTGTCAAATTTTAGCTGTTTCCTTTGGGGAGGCAGTCTTAAAGGGGTGGGGTGCCCCTCCTTTGAACGGTAGGGGATATCTTCATGCACTTCTTTGTGGATGACCCTAGAAGCTGCAAAGTGGTAAAAGCAGATGATTCTAAGCTTTATCTGGCCAATGAGAGAAGAATAGTCTCTGTTGAATTTCACAGGTTTTTCGAATAGAGTGATATTACCCAAGCTTCTTTGAATGAGCCTGCAGAGACGTCTGCTATGAGAGATATGTTCATAATGTGAGTGAGTGCTGGTAGGTGAAATAAAAGATGCAAGGGCACAGGATCTACAGGACCGGTACTAGGGTGGTCTCAATGGAGAAGTTTAGAGACTTCTGAGTGAGGAATGAATGAGGAGAGGAGTTGTGTAGTAAGGGACTGTAGAGTAAAACTGAAACAACACGTTTTTTTTTTTAATCAGTTTTTATGATATTACTTTTATTATGCAACAAAGCCCTCCTTTGCAACCAGAATTACGCGACTTGGGGATGGACATTTTGCAATGAATTGATTATCTTTTTGTGCCTTTGCTTGTCAATGGAGCTTCAGGTTACTTTAAATTTGTCAATATAGGACAATACTTTTGCAACATATTTTTCTAAGCTAGCTTCAGCTTTGATTATTCAACCATTACACTCTGTTCTTTTAATGCTTTAAAGAGCAGTGAAGATTGATCTCTATCACCATCACACCTTTCGTTTTTAGCATTAGATCAAAGAAATTGTAGTTAATTTGTCAGAAAAAAAAACAGAAGAAGTCTATGGAGCCTTCTCAGAAATGTGTTTGTGATATGGGTTTGCTTGGGCTGTGCCCTCGGTCAGTCTCACCAGGTGATGGGCTGCTGGCAGGTGCCCTCCCTCCTTGCTAGACACACACACCATCTCCTTCACTTCCTGCCAAACACTCGTCTCCTGTCAGCACGGGGCATCTTGGCACACTCATTATCCACTGTGCAACAGTCTGCCCACCACCCGCTGGATCTACAAGAGCTTACCAGTGAATGCCCACTCAGACGGGCATTTTAAACCACGGTCATAACTCAAGTCAGCATCTGCTGTGTGTCAAAATAATGGCTGTAGCACAACCAATACGATTTGTTTTTATTGGGGAACAATTGAGTCCAGTTAATTTTAAGTAGTTATAATTTGGTACATATCTTAGGAACAGTTTGCTTCCCAAAGTGGATGAATGCCAAACACGGTATAGTAAATCTCGACAACAGGACTATTGTTGCAATCGGACACATTATTGAATTTATAAGCATGCAAAGAAATAAACAGTTATTCTTGGTGCTTTTCCACTGCATGATGTCTTATGGTATATTTCAGTTAGCAGCATTTGTCCAGATCGTTTTGTCTCTAAGCCCTGGACGCACTGGCATTTCAACTCATTTCACCACATGCGGATGCATCCATTGTGATCTAGTAATAAAATCAAATAATTCACTATAGAACTGAGATACATTTTAACAGAGTGTTCTCAAATATACTTCATAGCAATACTGATGCCCTAAAATTTGACATTTGCTTCATATTGAGTTATCTAAAAGTGCACACATGTGACCTCTCTAATTCGGTTTCCATTCAAGTCAATGGAATTTTTTTTTATAGTCTGACTGCAGCTTTAGAAATGGTTTTTGTTTGGTACAGTTTTGAAAGTTCCAAAATACTTGAAGTCGTTTGAATGTATTTATTTGGGCAATATAAAGTTAGTATAAATATAAACATAAAGCAGTAAATAGGTCTATTTTCATTAGTGTTAGCTATAGTTGGCTATAGACATTCGTATATTTTATTGTTTACACGAACAGTCCCACATTAACCCATACCCTATTGGAAAAACAAATTGCAGATATTTACAAATAAGTTTTGACTAGTCAGAATTGAAATACATACTAAAATAAATATATTGTGAATAAATCAATTGTCTCCAAGTTGCGTCTAGTCATAAAAACAGATATCTATAACTAGTTTTGACTAGTAATAAACAGGATTGAGATATCTTTAAAAATGTACATCTATGTATTTATCAGACACTTTTATCCACATTGGTGCTTGCTTCTCCTGGGGTTTGAACCCATAACCTTAACTTTGTTAGCGCAACGCTCTACTAACTGAGCCACCGGACAGTGTTGGAAAACTAAATATGACGAATTAAAGATATCCCCAATGGGGTCTTTAAATACAATCTGCACTAGTCACAGGAAGCTGACGCTCTGTGTAGATGAAGTGTCCATGGGTGTGTCACAAAATTTTTTTTACAACACTAAACGTCAGTACCAAACCAACTTTTTTTTGCAGTCAGATTTTTTTGTTAAGTTTAACTTAGTTAAAGTTAAAGATAAGTTAAACTCTGTACAAACAGAACTTTTTAAAAGCAATTCATCACAAAACGTGTGCTTGTAGTTTGAATATTCAAATTGGTTATGAATAATACGGGCATTGTGTAACATGAAGAAACAGATTATTTTTAAATCGCTTTGAGACTAGTTGTGTGGAGTGTATGGAAGGTGAGTAAATGATGATGAGCTTTTCATGTTTAGCTCTGTGATCTCTTTAACCCGATTATCATGACCCATTTAAGCCCGTGTTTGTGTTGAAGCTATTTTTATGCTGGTTCGGATTCTCTCTGTTCTCTCTCTGGAGCAAACTCACTCTTACGGTGGTCTGGGAGAACGATCTGGTTCAGGGTGGGACAGCAGAACCTTATCTGCCTTCTGGATGAAGATGAATAGTTATTTCTGGAGCTGATAAGCTCTAGTGTAAACAAGCTATGATGCGCTTTGATATGCATCAGTGGACCTAAATCCATCAATGTTAGTTCTGTGTCTTGAACACACTTATTGTAAGCATCACCGTTTTAGAGGTTTCTCAGATTTGCCAAGATTTAGCTGTGCTACAGCTGCTGATGAGCATCACAGTTCGATCAAAACCCATACATGACCTGAAACAGAAACAGCCGCAAAGGAGGTTTAAAACTGGGTGAGGAACAGCCAAAATCTGCTACTAATGTGAGGTTTGTAAACTTGCACAAAGTCAAGGATTTCATTGGATTATGATTAACTAATTATAGCAAACAGCTGCTAATGATCATCACACTTCGAATTAAACCCAGTCATGACCTGAAATAGAAACAGCTACGTAGGAGGCTTAAACTGGGAGAGGAACAGCCAAAATCTGCTACTAATGTGAGGTTTGTAAACTTGCACAGTCAAGGATTTCATTGGATTATATGATTAACTAATTATAGCAAACAGCTGCTAATGATCATCACAATTCGATCAAACCCCATACATGACCTGAAACAGAAACAGCCGCAAAAGAGGTTTAAAACTGGGTGAGGAACAGCCAAAATCTGCTACTAATGTGAGGTTTGTAAACTTGCACAAAGTCAAGGATTTCATTGGATTATGATTAACTAATTATAGCAAACAGCTGCTAATGATCATCACACTTCGATTTAAACCCAGTCATGACCTGAAATAGAAACAGCTACGTAGGAGGCTTAAACTGGGAGAGGAACAGCCAAAATCTGCTACTAATGTGAGGTTTGTAAACTTGCACAGTCAAGGATTTCATTGGATTATATGATTAACTAATTATAGCAAACAGCTGCTAATGATCATCACACTTCGATTTAAACCCAATCATGACCTGAAACAGAAACAGCTACGTAGGAGGCTTAAACTGGGAGAGGAACAGCCAAAATCTGCTATTAAAGTGACGTTGGTAAACTTGCTCAAAGTTAAGGATTTCATTGGATTATGATTAACTAATTATAGCAAACAGCTGCTAATGATCATCACACTTTGATTTAAACCCAGTCATGACCTGAAACGGAAACATGTCTGTAGGAGGCCTAAACTGGGTGAGGAACAGCCAAAATCTCCTACTGATTAGAGGTTGAAAACCAAACACTTTTGTAGCAGATGACATGGGAAGCCGTGGTTTTCCTGGCATTAGTTGCATCATAAACCCATAATTCTATATGGGAACAAGGCCGAGTAACTCAAGAATGCATGAAACATAGGAACGGGGGTGTTTTTTGTTTTACAGCACACACGTCTGTATTTTGTTTACATAACTTTTTTCCTTTGCACATTATTGCAGGCTAACTATTGTACTGTACGTCCAAATGAAATTTGTAATGGAAAGCTTTTGAGGTTATATACTGGCCGATTGCCCGATCTACGTTGCAGGTAACAGATTTTGATTTTGGATTAGGCCAATATTCTGAAATTTCTAACTTGAACAACACTTTTTTAAATGACATAAATGTCAGCTTATGTGCCAACTGTGTGGACTCAGTGGTTATAGTCTCCAGTGTAGGTTCATTTGTAAATGTACCGGGTGTCGAAGTAAAGAAAGATGTGTGAATGTTTCCCGTCCACTCTAATTCATCTCCATGTCACGCGCCATGTGCTACTGTACAGGCAAAGAGGAACCGTGTGTGTAATGATGGCTCTGATGCCACACAGACAGACGGACTTCTCCTCATCTAGTCCATCAGGCTCTGGTGTCGTCTTTCTGCCATCTGCCACCGCCAGCCAGTCTGTCCATCTCACTAGCACACACACACTACTCTAGAATCCTTCAATCTTAACATTTCACATGAGTTTTATTTAAAATCTTTGTTTTGAATTGCATTTAAAATAGTAGTTTTTCTTATTTGTCAACATTCATTTATAGTAGTTTTTGTATGCAATGTTATATGTGATAATTTGAAAAACTTAGATTTTCTTTGTACAATTTTACATTTACGTTTACATTTACATTTATGCATTTGGCAGACGCTTTTATCCAAAGCGACTTACATTTGAATGAACATATTTTTTTTTGTTCTGTCAGTTCTTGCTTTCCCTGGGATTTTAGGTGGAAATTGTCCGTGGTGCACCAAATAAATATTGACCATAATTTTTCCACTCAGCACGATTATATTTTGAAAACAAGTCTATTTTGTAACTCTCCTGGAATTCCTCAAATGAGAGAGTCGCGAGACGATTTAGACTCAAAATAAAGTCTGTGATTACCTGCAGCAATGAGAGGGCAGCATCCAGATCTATGGGAATTTGGAGAGTAGTTACAAAGGTAAAGACACCAATAAAAACAATGGCTTCGGGTTCGAAAAAGGTCTATTTGAACTGGTGAAATGGTGCGCTCCAATCTGTGAAAATGTTCAATCACGCTGCTTGGTTCCGAGACGTAGTTTGACGACATTAAAGTTCTGAAAAGCTTAGACATTTTTTAGACTTTCCCGATCAGTCCTGATCAGTCCGACTCAAAAGTCGCTAGATGACATCATCACCTCATTTGCATAAAAGCCAAGAGACATTCCTGAAGTACACCTGCGCTCCTCACAGGCTTTTTTTAATGCAAAGAACAAAAGTTTTACTTTTAAAATTTTATTTAAACATTATTAAAAGAACATGCATAGAGTTATAAAATGAATATACGAAACAAAGTAAAATGAAAACTATTATAATAGGATGAACTGTGATGGACTGGGTGTGCCCCTGCCTCTCGCCCAATGTGTGCACCGGCAGACCCCTGTGATCCCAAAAGGGAATAAGCGGGTTGGAAAATTAATGATTGAATAATGGGATAAAGTAAATAACAGGAAAAGTAACTTCAAGTTAATCTCTGTGATTTCAAACTTGACACATCTTCAGATCATTTGTGCTTTAGCTTTCTGCATCAAGAAAAGAACATGAAAACAATGTTTAAAATTGAGATTGAGATTCAATTTGTAATTTACTTTTTTTTATGAAAAATGCAACCCGCTTGACAAAAACGAGCAAACCATAGCTCAACTACTTTGGTTGAATATTTGATTGTTGAGAAACTGGCTAGCTTTGACTCAAAGGAGGGACCTGGAATACAAACATGTGATTCGTCACATTGCAGATCTTGGTGATTTGCATAATGCATCATTGCGAATCGTGATTGCGATTCGATTTCGAATTCACACAGCTGGGATCAAAGTTGCTTTAATAATCGATTAAAGATGTGTATCAAAGTACTCTTTGCCAACCTTGGCATTTAAAATATAACGTTTAAATTAGAAATGGCATTTGATGTGGTAAGTAATATGTTCTCACTACTCACACTGATTCTCGTGTGCTTATTTATGCTAAAGGTCTTTGAACACAGAAGTCAGTGAGTATTTACGCAAAAAAAAATCTGCCTCTGGATTTTTAAACGGAGTCTTCAAGCAGTGATGAATTTCTGATAATTTCTTATTTTGCAAAAAAAAAAGGGAAACAAAAATGCTGGGTTCATCCTGAGAGTGTGCCGACAGAAGGGAGAATCTTAAGAGCTAGGGAAGAAAAATTTACATCCCGAAAAATGTAGTATTTCTGTGTGTTGGTTGAGACACGTATCAGGTCTGAAGCGAATGACGATTGCCCAAAACCGTTTGAATTTTTGTAAAAGCGAAAAATGCAAAAATGGAATCTGTTTCGATTGTTTTTTTTTTTTTATCGGACGAATTATTGTAATAGACACAACGTGACCTCGATTTTATTTTGGGTCGTACGAAAATTTTAGACTTCAGTGTGCAAATTACTTTAAACTTATTACTAGTTTTAATGATAAAGAAGTGAATTTACAAATATTCTTTTTTTAAAAAAAAAGAAACAGATGTACCCACTAGTTTGAGTTCATCTTCCAGATTATGGACGCAATCCTGGTTTATGAGCTGTTCAATTTCAAAACTGCAATCACAGGTCACCGCAGGATTCTGACGGAGGAAATCCTTTTTGGAAAAGCTGCCCAAGATGGCTTAAGAATATTCAAATCTTGAGACCAATCATTAATTTATCATATGTCATCCAGTTCCCGTTTGAGAGAGTTGATGGCTCCTTTTATCTCCACACTTTCTTTTTCTTTCTTTCTGTCTCTCTTCTCCTCTCTTTGTCTCATTATTAATTTGTAAATTTAATTGTGAGCTTCATGTCAGTTGTTTTTCATCAGTAAGTTCATTGCTTCCCATTGCTTTACACTGTCTTCGCATCTGATTAACATGCAGTGACAGTACGAGCTCAGCTTCTGTCTGGTCCAGGGAGCTTTCCCAAAATAGAGCGAGCAAGCTTTATTTTGTATGTGTGTGTGCAGCAAGACAAGCACAGG